GACCATCCAATATGGTCGCGGTAATTTTCATAAACTGGTTGCTCGGTGCAGTTCGCTTTCTCCTGAACGGCTATGCGCTATATAAGTACGCGGATAGACGTATAATGCACGCGGTATAAAATGATGCCTGTGGTTTACGACCGGCTGGCCTTGACTTTTACGAGAACCTTGGAAAGCTCAGGTGCGACCGGATTTTGAGGAAAATCGACACGCTTCAAGATCGTTTTCATCCTACCGCTAAATGATCCTCTGGGAATAGGGACAGCACGTTGCAAATTTATGTAATTCTTTGGAATCGAATGGAAACCTCGAACAACGATCTAACGCGTATTTAACAGGTTTTGGGAAGAAACAGTTTTTAAGTCACACCGCGCAACGTACGTTTCGAACACTTAGCGCGATTCTTGCGTTTCATATTCATCTTCTGACGAGATATCCGCAACGTGTGTGTACTTGATCGATCGACAGGAATTCTGGAAGTACTTTGGCTTTACTTTGGTATTAATTCGACTTTAACTAAGACGAGGTATAAGACCTTTGTTTGCTGTTTCCATGCGATCAATACGGTCGTGATTAGTGTTAGCCTACAGGAGTTGTGGAAATATGATTCTTGCTGGAAACCAAACAAATGTACCAGATCTGTCGATTTCTTTTTTCTTTTTTGACTTGCTGAAAATCTAACAATCTAACGAAGGTAGCGAAACCGGTTAAAGCGTCTGCTATGAGAATGTCTACTTTTACCGAGATAAAAATATAATTACATATTCATATTACCGTAATTCTAATCAACTATGTATAATATATTCAAATTCAAATTGAAGATTGGGAACTCTAGAGGTAACTTATGTTGGTAAAGGTTAATGCTAATTGTGTATCCTTTTCACACGTGTACTTTTCAGAAGATTCGTTCGCGTGTCTCAAAGTGGAAAATCCCTTTCCATTAAAAGTTAATAAAAGATGTTCGTATCAATCTAGAAATGAGATTACATCATGTAGAATGTAAACGCAGTAAAATGATTCTAAAACCATTCTATAATTGATACAATAATTACAGCGTTGGAGCATAGAAGTCATCTGAACAGAACACCCAAACGTAATAGGGTAATCAACTAACATTTGATTTATAAAATCCATTTGCAAGAAATTCGCTTCTTCTATTATCATAATATTATATTATTGTAATTTGTGACTTGTAAAACACCGGTTCAATCGCGGCAGAAACTGTCGCAGGAAGTACCGCGGTATCATTCTAATTATTATTACGATTCCTGATGAATCAGCAACAATACCATAGAAACTTCGCTTCAAAGACTTACCATAAACTTCTACGCGGAAGACAATAGACTCAGACAATACGACGCGTAATAAGTCTGAGTCACGACAGCCTGGAAATCCTTGATCTTTCATCCGTCATTTCGATAGTTACTCGCGAAGAAAGAGAAGCAAGAAAAAAAAGAAGGCGAGGAAAGAAACGACTTTCGTGAAACCATCGAGGTCGTTTGCGAGGGTGTCGCTCTCATCGTGATTTTTTGAACACCGACAAAGAAGGAACGCATTCTCACATACCAGCTGGTTCTCGTTCCGTGGCGAAGGTCCCGAGCAATTTCGTCGCACCGTATACCCGTGTTCTCCACTTCCGGTTTAGCCAACGGTACCTTGTAGGGTTATCGAACGTGCGTCTGCCAGGACTACCGTCTGACATCTCTGTGAACAGGTACATTATAACGTTACGTGTGTGTACAGAAATCGACGAGAATGTTGTGAATAGTCGGCGGTATAGTTCGTCGAACAAACGTAAAAATCGTAGGAAATATAGAGATAAATTCATTACAAGTCCATTTTCACAGACTCTTTCGATTTTAACGTCCTTTAAAATAGAGTACTTAGCATCTGTTAAGAAACAAGCAACGAGGTAATGTGCGCAGCTTACGTCTGAACAGAATCTTATTACGAATCGAATAGAGTAAGTTAAGTTACAAAACGAGTTTCGAAGCCAAGTTCTAAAAATCAAGTTACAGCATCTTAAAGTATTGGAATAATAGATACATCGGAGAAACCTATTGCACACGTCGCAGACACGAGGAGAATTTTTATAATTTGAAAAGAATTGTTTATTACAGTAGGATCTGAATGGAGGAAGGAATAGTAGGGAAGAATGCATCGAGGAAATTCTTGCAACTCCTTTTCGCAAGTACAATGTGCATCGAATAGAGTTCAGTAATGCAAGTTGACTGAAAGGAAATTGTAAGCGAAATGTTGCATTGTAACGTAACTTTGGGTATCGATAGCTTCGTCTAACATGGGGAATAGTATGACAAATTCCAAAAATCACGGGATTTACGAACGATTGATAAGTTGACGAGATTTCTTACTAAATCGAGAATACTCTTAACGTTTCGATCGATATTTTTATGATATTGGGTAAGACAGAAAAAGTACAAAGACGAGAGACGAAAGTCAGATGTAAAATGTCTCTCCTGCTTAAACATCTTTTTGTTTATTTTAAATCTACGAATAAGATTGTTTTACTATTTTAGAATTGTATTTCTACGAGATTAAAAAACAATGTAGTCTATATATATATATATATATATATATATATAGTCTACATATATGTAGTCTATATATATATATATATATATATATATATAGTCTACATATATGTAGTCTATATATATATATATATATATATATATATAGTCTACATATATGTAGTCTATATATATATATATATATATATATATATAGTCTACATATATGTAGTCTATATATATATATATATATATATATATATAGTCTACATATATGTAGTCTATATATATATATATATATATATATATATAGTCTACATATATGTAGTCTATATATATATATATATATATATATATATAGTCTACATATATGTAGTCTATATATATATATATATATATATATATATAGTCTACATATATGTAGTCTATATATATATATATATATATATATATATATAATGTTCTTCCTCCATAATCTTCACGTCTTAACGAGAGTTACGCAATCGAAAGATATCGTCTACACGTTAAAATTGCTACATCAACGTCATTGGATTTGATGGATGGTTTCGAATATTCTCATGTCATTGAGTAATATAATTTTGGTCATTTCCGATTGCTTCCCCAATGGGTTTCTGTGTGATTCAACAGGTGTCGAAAACGACTGATTTAATGTCTATACCGTGGAAGGATATAATTGTATAATGTTGGTTAAGTGGTTGGTGTGGTTAAGTAGTTACGTAATTTAGAAAAAAATTTAGGTTTATTCAATTAATTGATCGAAGAGCTTCGACGAGATTTTGGAAATATCATTGAGCCTCTCTGTGGAAAGTTTTTAAACGTTTTACAAGTAAAAAAATGTTTAATTTGTGCTAAAAAATTCACGCGTGTTTTCCATGTATTTTCGTACAGTAATAAAAGTAGAAAAGAAAAAAGAAATTAATAACGTAGAAATCGATCTTTGTGCTACATGAAAAGTTGTCATTCCTTTCAAACATTGCTATGTCGAGAAGA